TGTATGGATAAATCATCAAGTTCAATCTTTTGTAGGGGTAAGTGGCGGGACCATCGTCATAATCGATATTTGAGAACGCACATTACTTCTATCAAGGGCACACATTCAATCTCTAATAGCACTGTTATTATATGTTTCCTACTGAACATAAAGAGCAAGGTATTCTCATAGAGTTTACAAAACAATATTACATTTGGGCAGAATAGCATTTCACAAAAAAAAACTAGAAATTAAATTAGTACACTTTCACGGACAGCAAGCTCAACAAATGGCGGTAGTGTGTAAACGTCAAACGCAAAGAAATTTTCTTTCAGTGCCACAAGCAATGTACTACCAATTAAGAAAAAAACATAAATTGACCGTTAAATACGTGTTCAATGAACAATATGCAAGAGTTATGTCTGTGCTTATAGCTTATCTCTAAACGAATGAAGCCCGATTCAAAATAAATTTGGACGCATTCAAGTGATCATAACTCAAGAATTAAACAACATACACGGTTGATCAAAACCTCAAACAAAAGGGTATTTATTCAGCTTTCAAACGATATATAACAAGTTATTACATTTCACCGTTTCGAACGAACTGCCATACTTTACTTGTGATCGATGCCATCATGATCTGCACAGTCGCTGGTGACACTGTACCGGTGAACTTATCCCACTTCAAACGCATTTGTTGTGCATTTGTCACTTCTTTACCGCATCCTCGAAGTTTTCGCTTGACAATTGCCCAATATTTTTCGATCGATATGAACTCAGGGCAATTCGGAGGATTAATCTCTTTGGCGACGAAATTAACATTGTTTGCAGCATACCATTCTAGTACCTCCTTAGAGTACTGGCAGCAGGCTAGATCCGGCATAACGTTGGTCTTGTGTTGCCAAATAAAGGGTAAAATCCGCTTTTTCAGACACTCTTTAATGTAAACCTTAGACGTCATTGTGTGAGATGTGATGAAAACCTTGGTTTTAAGGCCACAACTGCAGATTCATTGCCAAATCATTAGTTTCCGAGCAAATTTATCAGCAAAAACAAATGTATACCTGGAAGGGACATCCCCACGACCAGTTGCCAGGTAAAATTTTCGTCCGGGGATTTGTTTATAATCCATTTGACATATGTTTCGTCATCCATTAAAATACAGCCATCAAATTTCGTCAAAACTTGTTCGTATAGTAATCGTGCTTGCTTTTTGGCCACTAAATTTTGTTTCAGGGAGCGATTCGGATGTTTACTGGCACAAAAATACTTATATCCTTCTCTTGAAAGGATGTTACGCACGGTGGAAAAGTTGAAATCGTATTTCTTTGCCAAATCACGTATGGAGACACCTGGGTTGCTTTTCACGTACCTCAACACCTTTCTCCTTAGCTTTTTTCCCCTAGTGCCACTTTTATGATAGATGCGCTGTGCTCTATCCACACTCAGAGTATCCTTGTAACGTTTGATTACAAGACTCACCGTTGACTTTGGGAATTTTAACACTTTTGCTATTTTTGAGGCAGACCACGAAGGGTTCTCTAGATGTTTGTGTACAATTAATTTTCTTTTCTCAAGTTCCATGATCCGTATCGAGAAAAACTTTTCACCAATTTCTTCGTCAATGAAACATCAACAAATGCCTGTCAAACGTTTTTTGTTCCAACCACCAGGGACGGTGTATTAAACCGTGCGTCCAGATTTACTTTGAATCGAGTTTTACATCATATCAAGAAGACTAACAGCTCTTAAACTTACTTACACAAATGCCAAAAGACAGACAAAATCTCACTATCTATTCCTATAAGGTTAAATCTCAAAGCGAACTTGATAACAAAGATGCCAACCTCAAAAGAAAGGTTACCGTATTTGCTCATTTTTTATCCAGTGCTGCTCAAGCGCAGTGCTACAGTTTTTGTCTCTTAAATGCTGGTAGGGTTGCCAGTCTTCTTGATATGTTGTCTTCAATTTAAGAAAAATGTAAAGAAATTGCAATTGCGAATCTTCTGACAATTTCCCCGTCTGCGGTTATTTTGAGTAGAAATTGTTGTATACGTAAACTGCATCACTAATTAAGTGCTATGTTTTGCATTAAACATAATAAATTAATACATTACTTACGATAAATTCCAGCTCGAATTAACTTTTAATACCGTGCCGAGAATAATACCGGTTGAAGCTTAACACCATACATGTTCTTAAATCAAATTTGGTCTTTGAATCATGCATTTGGCATAGAATTGCAGTGTTTTCTGATCTAAATTCAATGGGTTTCAAATAAATCACGCGAACAAAAATTTCTACCGTGATAAAATCGAAACTGCTACTGGGATGCAGGACACATTCTCCACCAAATGAGTTATTACCGTAAGATGGATATAACTGTCGAAACTCCGAAGAGACGAACCAGCTAAGGGCTGAAAGTCTCTATAATAAAGTAAAAGAAGAAGAAGCACTGTCGAAACTCGAACACCTTCCAACTATGATTGATTTAACATTTGTATGTATGCGTGAACTCACCTCACCCATGTTTACAAACAAGCCCCCGTGAACGAGTAAGGCCATAATAATTCAAAATCAAACTGTATACAGTCAATAGACAGTCTGCAGTTGTGTTTTCTTTTTTGGTTTCTGTGTTGTGCAGAGGCTGGTATATTTTGATGCGACAAAAAATAATAAACATAATAACAAAAACGAAGTAGTTCACCTTGGGAAGCCAGCGCACACTGAAGCTATCGAATTTTGGTAAAAATTGCTTATGGCTTCGTAGCGGTTTTTATTTTATTTCATGGCAAACAAACAACTGACGCATGACTGATAAAGTATTTAAAATGCGCACAATGGGGCTATGAGTATTAAATCAAGAATTATTTATAGTATAAAGAATACAATTACAACTGGATGGCGAAATTATCACAGCGAGCCAATCAACACGCTTCCTTCCATTAGTTTTCGATGTAGCATGAAACAAACTTCTATTTAGATTTCACCGCACCACTCGTTTAGTTGTTTATAAACAGTACACACTTGTATTTGTGTGCAGGCATTTAGTGCATTTGCCTTATTAAGATAATGGTTGCAAGACAGCATGCTCTACTTACTCTGCTAATGTTTCATATGCGTGTGAATGAGTGGGCACAAATTGGATGTTTTATTACTTCCACTTGGTGCTATCGAGTAATGGTGAATCCGCAAAATAAAGATTTTTGTGATTTTGTATGCAGCGTGTTTTATCATAGTGAAAAAGTGTGTACTTAGATAACAAAGATTACAGCTTAAATGAAATCATTCAATCCATAACAATATTGGAAACACATATTCTGGCATGTGTATATAAAATATAACAAGGTCAAGCAGCAAATCAACATGATAAGCTCATTCTACAAGCCTCCTCTGGTAAAAGTGATGACGGTTGTTTTGAAGTTTACCTATCACGTTGTTTCCTACTCCTACATAATCACTCAAATCAGCTGTAACCAGCTAATGAAAACTCCTTATCTCTTGATCTCCATCTTTGTTTACGTCAGAATGATGCTGTAAATAATGCCACGTCAATGCACATGGCATACAAAATACCAAAGCACACAAAACAATATATGTACTAGCGACCGGTATGTATGAAGCTTGATTGCACTTTTTTAGATAAAGCGACAGTTTCACTCGATTTTCTGGACACCAGATGCTTCGTCTCATTAACAGCGCATGTTAATATACTTCCAAAAATAGAAAACGATGTCAACGACACATACAACTGGCTGACCATTCTGAATCATTCCCGCTCTATCTCTCTTTCGCTCTGGCAATCTTACCGAACGGTCTCGAACCATGTTTGTTTATCAGTGCTTCCGCCGGCGATGCTGACACCCAAGCACAGAAGTAGATTTTCTAGGCCATAAGAGAGGTCTTTGTAGTCTGAGTTTTGTTTTTAATCGCGTTTGTGAATGCGTTCTCCTTTGACCGATACCTATGGTTTGTTGATATTTACTCTGTGGCATCGTACATTTGTTATTTGTTTATTGCTACTTTGTTGTAACCGCCAGACTCTATGTATTATTTTCCAGATAAGTTGAAACACATACATTATGTGCAGTCGAATGAAAGTTCACAGGCAATACATACAAAACGGTTGAGCTACATTACCCCGAATGTCATTTCCCTGAACGCCATTACCCCGAATGGCGTACGGAGAAGTGACATTCGAAGTAACGGCATTTGGGATCATGTAGCACAATCTTACAAAACATATTCATAATTTTAAAACTGAGATTGCGTAAAATTCATTTGAGAATTTATTTTTATTAAATTAATTTATTTATTTTTTTATTTATTTATTTCTCTATTTCTTCAACCAACGTAGACTAGTACAAAAAAAAAGCAGTTTATTTTTCTTAAAAATAAAAATAAAGAAATAAATGGTTTTGACGATATGGCCGGAAAATTCTCCGCATTGTAAGAGTCATGAGACTGAATTATGAAATAAACTAGTCGACTGGTTAAAAAATCTCAATAAAGAAAAAAATGGAACTAAATCTGACTGGAAACGGCTAAAACCTATGATGTGTCACAGATCACATTAGAAATATGAAACTAGTTCAATGGAAGTCATTAGAAGTACACAGGACCACACTGGTCACATCCGGACATGTTCCTACGTGGAAGTGGCCAGTTCCTGACTAGAGTCAAAATCCAACACACGATACCTCAAATCACATGAGAATTCAAAAAGTAGTTCAATGAAAGTTATCTAGAAAGCCCGGGACCACATTGGTCACATCAGTCACATTAGGCATTTCACAATAGTCTACAGTATCGACAACGTATTGCCTAACTACGTCGCAATAACTCCGAATGAAAGTAACCGGTCAACAACAACAACAACAATAACAATGGCCAATAATGGGAAAATATGAAATGATAAACAAAAATATGCCACTGCAAACGTGGCAACGCATTTACTGATCTTTGTTCCTATGAATCATAGGAAAAACCTATTTAAGACAATTTTCCATATGCACTTACCTCCTAACAAATCCTCACTGTTTCTAGGCATTGCTGACATCTTGTTCGTTTCACTTGTTAAGTTGATAGATTTGAACATGCTCTGCCTTTCTTTGTTTGGAATGTACAAAGGTATCCCGAATTGATCCACAGGAAGATATCCTATGCGCGCTGATGCACGAAAACAAGCGAAAAATCAATTCTCCCGCTTCACTATATTTGTAAACAAAGGGTCCGAAGGTGTACGTGAGACTCGTCAAGCAGCCAGAGCCGTGTCTCCTGGCTACACGCAACAGCGAACAGTAGAACGGTGAATAAACAAAACACAGATACAGGTGCACTGCCACCCGACGCGCAATTTGTTGTGAAACTCACACACTCTCTCTCTCTCGCACTACTGTTTACGTCGACTAGTTTTTTAGCGAACTAGTTTTGTTTTCTGCGACTTTCAACATAGAACTAAACGATTTCTGCCTTGTAAACAGTCAGACATAAAGTATTGATGTCTTAAAGGATGTCAAAGCAAACGATTTTCGACTTCTTTTCTTTGTTTACATCCACAGTCTGGAACACATAGGAAAGGTGTAATAAAATGGCGATCACAAATAGATTTCAAATTTGCATTCTAATTACAATGTCAAGCAAAAGTTTTATGAAACACTACTCTGATGGAACTTTTAAAACGGCCCGCGTCTTCACAGTTCAACCAACGATTCACTTTTGCAGTCAATTTCCCTGTGATGTTTTTCCAATTGCCAGCTGGTCACTGCGCATTTGGACTCGGCACATAAAAGAATGAATCAAAAAGGCTACGTCGTATTCGAGCAATCTTGTTTTATGCACGATGGGGATGGGCGACTGTACAAAACAACAACAGAATCGAGTTACTCTCCCAGTGTACGTCATACAATCTCTCTTGCCGTTTCAGTACACCAGTTTGCGCATCTCACAACTACAAATCGAAATCCCTGTTTTTCCCTGTTTAAAAACCGAAGAGACTCGCGAAAACACGACTTCACTGTTTGCAGTTCAACTTTGTTTTGATGTTCGTTTTGTCCAGCTCTTTGTTTTGGTGGTGATTCTTGCGTACGTGACGATTTGTAGTTTAGCAAACAACCACTGAAGCGCTGTGTTTGCAAAAAAGAAATGAGGCCTGCCAGAAAGTGAGAGTCTTCTTGCGGATGTCGGTGGCATCTGTGATAATTGAGGAAAACTACTGTCATACCATCTGCGCTATAAAAGCTCTCTGAATCAAAATTATGGAACAACATGAATGTAGCTTTATACCACATTTACTATAAACTCGTCAATGAACAACTGTGGTAAAATGGGCAAGCACTCAAAGCAGAAATGCTATATCAATTATCAATTTTTAAATTACTTTCATGCACATAGCCTTAGCCAGCAGGAAATAGGGGGGATCCCTAGAGTGATAGATGTATAGGTGCTCATGTATTCAGGGTTCGTGTTGGTGAGTTATTTGCCATTCATTATCATGTAAAGTTCACTAATTTGCCATAAACAGTGCAAAAAAACGGTCGTATTTGAATACATTTGGAAGTGTTTCATACGACCGGAAGATGTATGCTGGTTACAAATGTTTTGCCAAATTGATTTCCTATCCGAAAAAAAATTATAATAAAACAACGGAATTACAATAATTCTTACTGTTGAATATCGAGTACATTAAAATTTATTGTTAAATTGTTGTACGGGAGAAAACGTTAATTTCGATTTTTAACGATACAATGCTCAAACCATGAAAAATAATGTGATAAGATCAAATTTGTTCGAGAAAAATTAGTTTTTTTTTATTGTTAAGATGCTTAACAAAGAAGGGTTGTTTTACTGTCTTTTTTTTTTTTTTTTTTTCAAATGCCATGATTTTCATTGTTGTGAACCAAACATTTCGTTGAGATTCTGTGGTCATCGACAAAAATGTCCAATGTTTTGACATTAAATATCTTGGTTACAATGACAATGAAAATCATTGTATATTTATTGGATTTTTTACGGGTTAAGTGATCATTATTTGATGAGAATTTCACGAATAAACGCAAGCAAAACTTGCCATATAACAGTGTACATCGTCATAGTTCATTTTAGTAAACAAACTAACACTTCTTCTTTGAGTAGGCACCCTCCTTATTCGGTAACAATATTTAATTTCAGAATTTTAATAAGTGTGTATGCTGAAAACGAATCTAACAGAGAGAGTGAGTTTTCAGTGTAGAGCTCAACAATCTTGCAAAGAAAATATAAGCCCAAAATCGCAAAAAAAAATTAAAGTCAGAATATAAAAAAGGGCACCGGATGCTATTTGGTCTGAATGGGTCATTAGGTCGTATTTTGGAAACATCGACCTGAGCTTAGTATTTTTATTTAAATCTCGAATATCTTGAAATTATAGACCCGGTGATAATTTGAGATAACTCAAACTAAAAAAACCTTTTTTATATCTCTATGAAGGATACTTTTAGCCCTGCAACTAAAAAACCTGAATTAATCATTTTGTCAAGCTTCTGCATTCATGTTCCATCAGATGTCACTGCTGTTGTTTGTGGTGACATCTATCGGAAACTACACACAATCTGTTTTCCTATAATTGTTCACAGAGGACACTGCAGTGCAAAACATGTCTGGTACCTCTATATATGCATTTAGATTAACATCCGAAGTCCCTCCCTTTTTACACATTCTGCACACAAAATTGCTCACCCCTCACAGAATTTCCCGCTGATATTTATGTATGGGGCGGGGCATTAAGTATCTTTTGCGCACAATATGTAAAAAAGGGGGGAATTTCAAATGTTAAAGTAAATGCATGTATAGAGGTACCAGACATGTTTTGCAGTGACAGGTACTCTATTTTATAATCTGTGAAAGGGAAATCACAAATCGAGTGTCAACAAAATATATGGCATGCTGAGATATTGAGGTCGTGAGACAAATTCTCTCTCACCAATTTGAATTTTTTTGGCTCTCTGAGAACTGGTAGTAAAGCAGGTAAAACTGTATGGGGAATAATCATTTTTATTTAATTGTAGCTTATTTAACAATAATTTTCGGGAAAAAACCGAACGGCAAAGTCCCTGATTTATTTCTTTAGATTGTCGTTCACTTTTTTTCACCTGAATATGCACCGAAAGCGAATTATTCCGACTTCTCTCAATTTATATATGGGGATTTTTATCACTTCCTACCAGCGGAACAGCGCCATCTCTGTGGAAAAGAGTCGAACAAAATGATTAATTAATCACACTTAGAAATAATCAATTTTACATGTGATGGTATCCATCTTTGACATAAAGGATGTGATGTAAATAAACATGACCTGTAGAATTAAGTGCTCCGAGACTAAAAAGTTACTCGACTAAAAGAACGTTTTATTGAGCTGAATTACGTGTCAATAATGACAAGAGGTATGCTGTGGCTGTCAAATCCAACATACAATGCATCTACCTCACATTTATGTTGATACTTAAGTTGTTGGTACCCACTTTCTTGTTGGTTTACCCTAAAACTGGTGCAATGGGACAAAGGGCTCATTAAGATAAATGAACTAGTTTTGGAATTTCGATACATCAATCAATGTTTCAATCGGGTTGCAATATTTTTTTAAGGAAATGAGTACTGAGAAACAAAACAAAAATATTGGACGCCATGTTGAATATATAGAGCTTTTTGACGTTTAATCGGCGCTCACTAATTCACCATTAAAAGTGAAGGAGTGTGAGCAAGAGAGAAACAGATTAGTGGGAAAACAAATCATCCATTCATTCCTGTGTGCTGCAGAGTCGATGTAATAATAAAAGTCCCGCCAAGAGAAAATGTTGCAAACAAGCAGCACTGTTTGTGATTTATTTTTCGTCAGAGTAAACGGCAACCAGATTTTTTGCGTTACCATCGGATGACTTTCATTCAGAAGCAGTGCTGTGCATTATCATAACGGTTATTGTACCTTGACGGTATTCCTCGCATAACCGTCACATCTCAGAAATGACGGTCAACTAGCATATCACTTGGAAACACCTCTACCTCACTAGACCGTCTTCATAAAAGCCATCCATGACAGTTAGATTAAATGACAAGGAGAGAGTAGCAAAATCATTCACTTACTGATCATCTCTGTTGTTAGTGGGAAGTGAGAATAATGCTCCCTCATTTTCCTGTTCTTGCTAAAAGTTGTTGAGTTCAGAACATACGAAACATTTTGAAGAAAACGTTGGATTTTCATTTTCCTTGTAAAAAATAAATATGTGGGTGCTATTACGTTACGATGTCGGAAAATATCCGTATATCTTCAAAAATTCCATGTCTTAATATGCAAATTAAAGCCACTTTCACTTTTTTTATGATTCATCGGCAATATCAATTCTCTTTTACGTACGTGTCATTGTTTACGATGCTTAATAAATCTAAAAACAGACACAACTCACAATTGACAAGCTCACGAGAATTTTACTGTCAAAACAAATATCTTTTCAACGTTATTCGTGCGAAAAGTGAAGCGAAAAATCTTAAATTTTTGAATTGTTCCGAAAAATTGCAAGGACCATCATGGCACCAACATATAGAGCTTCGACAAATCAGTCTCGAAATCAGTGCGAAACCGAACTTTTTGTCAGTGCAAACCTCAACCTGAGCTGGGTTTTAAAAGCAAACGATCAAACTGACGTTTGTCCGAAAACAAGCAGATCCAATCTTGATACCCGATCCAGGTTGGAACTGAATAATAAACGAATTCGCTATTAATTTTAGCGAAGATTTATTGAAATACATTGCGTTCCCTTACGGACTTCAAAGTAACGATTTAAAGTTTTCTTTGTTGATGGATACCAATGGTTGCTTTGATTTCTAGCCACAATTCCAATATTTAGAGGGGAATTCCTATTCACGCAAGAATTGTTTTTATTGGTTTTGCTTTTTGCGGATCCCTTGATACTTGGGCTTCGGTAATGTGGATACGGTATGCGGTCAGCATCCTTATTCTTGGAGCTCAAATGAATAGCTGCAAAATCTCTATCCATGAATAAGCATTCGTGACTGCAGGTAGTACATGTTCATGCAGATATGAATTCTCACAATAATAATTATTGGTTATGATACGATTGTATAACGCAGGATAAGACTTTTTCCTTGATACATCACAGCTATTGCCTAATCCGTGATTTTGGAAGGGGAATGACCGTCATAACCGTACTTATGCTCGAAATGAGATGACGGTCAATTTATATGTCTGTTTATATTTCCTCGGTGATATGATGGTAACACATGGCAGATGTTAGTGATATTGCGAATGAGTGAGAAAAGCAAAACAACGAAATCTCACGGTTGATGTGTCATACTGGTGAGAAGTTTTACGGAGAGAGGGTTCTCAGTTGTTTTGATTATTAACCGTACACCCAAAATAATCTACACGTTGAAGCTACGTGAAAAATCACGTAAGCTCTCAATTTTTCCTCTCCTCTCAGTTTTACGTGACTCACGTAGAATGTATGTGATGTCCCTTGAATTTCACAAAAAGTTTCTTTTTAACACACCTACATAATCAATGAAATGTACGTGATTTTCCCATAGCACTGAGTCTATGTGCGTTTCACGTAAAGCTTATGTGATTTCCACATCTAAAAAAGAGTGGTAGGTACGTACACTCAGAGCGCTGCAAATCATGGCGGGATCATAATGTGCTTTTGTTTGGTATTCGATAGTGGCAAGATGTAAGTATAAAATTATCGATTATTTTATTCTCTTAAACAAATATAAACGGTATGTTTCATCGTGCTCAACAGAATGATGTCAAGCTGTCCATCAGTTAATTCCTCTAAGGAAAAATGTATCTCAGCCCATCTGCATGATCGTCCAGATTTTTTGTGCTGCATATCGAATATTGAAAAAAATCTTATGTGGTGTATTTAGAATATCTGAATAAATTAAAGAAATATTATTAAATTATACTACTAGGATTGTATCTACATATTAAGGATATATTTGTAAAAAAAGTATCAAAATATTTATACTAGAATCGTCCAATGAATGTCACTGATC